AGACTGTGCCATAGCGTTTCCAAGGCGCTGATCTTCATGGACACTGCTGGCCTCACCTTCCGTCTGTGGAGCAGCTGGTGGGCTCAGGTCATTTCTGGTTGGCTGGCATTTTGGTTAGCGGCCAAGCACTTCAACAAATGTACCACCAGGGTTCCCGATTACTGTTCTAAACCCAAACTCTCTGCCACTGAGTCGATTCCAACTCCCGGCTGCACTACAGAACACAGTAGATCAGCTCTCTAATGTTTCTGCGGCTGTACATCTTTACGGGAGTAGATAGTCGCATCTTCCTCCACAGAGCGGTTGGTGGGTTTGAACTGCTGATTGCAGTTAGCAGGCCAACGCTTAGTCCATTACGCCACCAGAGCTCCCCAGTTCCTATTATAAAACGTACTGCCATTGAGTTGACACTGACTTTTAGAGGCCCTATAGGACAGAGTGGAACTGCCCCCGTGAATTTCCAAGACTGTCACTCTTTATAGGAGTAGAAAGCCTCATCGTTCTTCCAGAGTGGCTGGTGGTTTCGAACTGCTGGTCTTGTGGTTGCAGGCCCATCTATAACCCGGTACGGTACGCCACCAAGGTTAGCTGACCTAAAAATCTGAGAATGTATTATGTCAGGACTTCTTAAACTTTTCGCACCAGAGACTCCTTTTCATCCTAGAAATTTGTAACAGGAGCAAGTGCTGCCCGAAACACCTCAGATTCATTACACATTTGATTGTGAATACATTTTGGGTCGTTTTACGTGGCAGCTATAGTTTTCTGTTGCTAGGTTTTTCACAGCCCCCACATTCCATTATGCTAGCCCAAAAAGGGCAGCGACCCACTGTGGAAGACACTTTGATCTAGGTGACTAGCTGAGACTCCGTGCAAACGACTTAAACAGGTTTCCATCCCACAGGTGGCAATCGCCAGCAGTGGAGGTTCCAGGGCACAATTCCCATCTTCCGAGTGGGAAGCCCAGGGTGAATTCACAGTTAGTACAAGGCGATCGGATGTTAAATTGAATTTGTTATCTTCTTCACCCATGAAATGGAAAACCTCCCATTTCCCCCCTACACTGGAATCATTTAGATTTCTTTGTCCTCATGATAAGCAGGAGTCCTGGTGGTGCAGCAGTTACCCATCGGGCTGCCATAGAAAAGTCTGCAGTTTGAAACCACTAGGTGCTCCAAGGGAGAAAACTAACTTTCCATTCCCGTAAAAAGTTACAGTCACCAAATCCTACAGGGGCAGTTCGACCTTGTGCTATAGGGTCCCTATATGTCAGAATGGACTCCATGACAGGGCGTCTGGTTTGGTTTTACTTCTCCGCTCTGAGAGTTCCAGTCTTGGAGACCCACAGGGCCATCCTACCCTACCCTATAGGGCTGCTATGAGTCACAATAGACTCAATGACAGTGGGCGAGTGGATGAGAATCAAGAGCTTAGTTTCCACTAAGAAGTGCACACTTTCCACATCGCAGACCCTTGTTTCAAAAGATGATACAGCGGCTCACAGTCTCCAACTTTCTAGTTAAGTCTAGAGGCTGGAGCAAAGCCCTTAAATTACATTCTTCTCGGGACCTAGAGCTATTTCTCTTAAAATGAAAATCTCTTAAATATTTGGTCTGACAGGGCATGGTGCCCCAACAGGCTAGACTGGAAAACACAAGTTTTTCTTGCTTGGTATATTTTAATTTGTTCTTCGTCAGTGGATTGATGTT